GCGCTCTCATAGTCAGTCGTCCGATCGCAACGATCGCACAGCATTACATACGTATCGATCGTTGGACGCGACGGACATCATGACGATCGATGCGCACCTAATGGTGTGTCATTATCACCTTCTATGGAAACGAACTAACGGTGGTCTACTTTCACCGCTGTTATAATCTCGGTATGAAACTCAGAATGTGAGAGGCACGGAAGGGATAAGCAGGTCTGAAGAAACCACAAATGAAAGAGTAGGTAAGAAATGGATATTCCTTTGCATCGATCACTGTTGCGAAAATGATCATAGAAACACAAATGACAAATTAAAGAAAAGACGGAGATAAAATGAAAAATAAAGTTACATATTATGTTAATAACTTTAGAAAGTTCCTAACTGCTACCTTTAAAGCTAATCTCGCAAAAAGGATATCAAGCTCAATGCCAGCGTATTTGAGCTTAATGACGGGGACGAATGCATCTTCGACGGCGTGTAGATCAGTAACATTATCATCCTATAAAACAGATGCAAGCACGAATACTCAGCAAGAATAAGCCAAGCCATAATACTCACTGCTTTGAGCATGTCGTAGAATGAGCCAAAGAAATCCGACCGGTCAACATGCCTAGGTGCTACACAAAGCGTATCAATATCAGCGCCTAAAAACATTTTAAGGTAAAACATTCAAATATTTAATGCAGTAACTGCTATTTTGTTAAGAATGGTAGGTAATGCTGGAGCAAATTCAAATGAGGAGTTTAGAAATCAACGTACCTCGTGTATGCACTCCTAATCTATAAGATCCAAAAGTGAATAACTTCCCACCAACATTTTCACACATTTCAGCAGGAAGCTGAAACCACGCAACAATTCGTAGTGGAACATTGCTTAAAACAATGGGAGTGGACTTTGATTAAATGCAAGGGGAATACCTTAGACTCCGACACCTTTCGCACCCAATTTTTCACTAATGAGTTGAGTTTGCGAAGAACCTCGATCCTTGCATGCATTTCCTCGTCGGTTTCGAATAGGTTAAAATTTTTCAAGCATTCTACCAGCTGAAAAAGTAACGGAAAAGTTTATAGAAAAACAAGAAAAAACTGCTGAAAAAGAACAACTGATCCATTCTTACAGTTTTCAACTAACATGAACCAGACCTGTGCAGTAACGCCGGCAATGCTCGGGCGTCAGGGGTAGTTGCTTTTCTGAGATAGGGCTTGACTGACTGCAACAAAAAACCGCAGGGAGTTTCCCGGGCCTCCCCAAACCCATTCTCCTTGCTCATCCCTAGACATGTGAATTATTTTGGCAAAGAAAAGATAGAGTAAATGGATGGAAATACTTGCAACGCCTCGTTCAAAAAATTTTAAATCACCAACAATGATCAATGAAGTGTTTATTGTATGCAAAACAAGCCGTAAGCTTTACAAGCACAAAAAAGTGGAACGTTTATCAGTTCAGCATCCCCTTGGAGGACGAACATACCATTGAAACTGAAAAGATACTATTTCTCAGCAGGAAGGGGAAAACCAAGCAAAGGTTGAGTAAAGCTTGATAAACCTCCCTAACGGAAAATTAGAAGATTAGGACACTATCGTTGCTAGGCGACAGCAGAGGTGCCAAAAAACTATCCGTAAGAGACACAACGAATCCCGTTAAATGAAAAATCGGTCGGAGTAACCAGGAAAATGATAGAAAATGAAAACGCCGTTGGAACACGATCGATGTTGTCGGGGAGCAAAGAGACCAAAATTTACGAGTGAAGCAGTGATAACTCACACCAGCGAATTCGTGCGGCAATGAGTGAAGAAAAGAAGGAGCAAGTAAATTCAAGACCTCTAAACCCCTCTCGTTTTCAGCTTCTTAATGTAGGAGCGCGGAGCATAAACAGACATGTGACGTGAGCCACGAGCTTACACCGTAATCACGGACGAAACGGATTGAACGCGCAAGAGGGCAAGAACGGTTTTCGAAGGCATTGCCCCTTCGTTGTTCAGGCCCTGTTCAGAGATGTCCGCTTGCGCGAAAAAACGCATAGGCGAAACAATGTGAAATATGTATCGACTGAACGAAGACGCACAGGCGAATCGTGAAGTGGGAGGATCGACGAAAATGAGTATCATACGCATCGACTTACGAACGCTTCGCTCACGCGATTTTCCGCCTGTGCGTTTCTCACAGTCGATACATATCAAACTCTTGACTGAAATTCGCCTGCTCCGGACGTTTCGCTTACGCGTTTCCCAATTTCTCAGTCGATGCGTATCTAAATCTTGGCGGAGATTTTCGCCTGTGCGTTTTTTCGCGTAAGCGGAAAAACGAAGTCTCTGAACAGTACCTCATTCTTTCAGAGCCTGTGTTCTAGGTGATGCAGAATGGTCACTTGGCGAGTAAGTATAGG